TTCCTATAGTGTAGGAGGTTCTAAATAAAGCCCCATTCTAATGTGTTTCAGACTGCCAAATGTATAGAAATAGTTCATGATATAGATATTAAACTTCTCACATATCACATATTCACAGGTTCATCCACAAAACATGATTTTAGTGGTTTATTAACAGATTCTGATCTTTTTAAGAACTACTTCTACCCTTATCGTTACACGAGATTTTTACTTTTGTTGTTTATCTTCTTCCCCATAAAAGATTTATGTTTCACTATTTTAACTTTCTCTTAAACGGGTAAGATCATGGTTGTCTTTCTTAAGCTATGCATAAACATAACTGTTTCTAACGTTATGAGAAATAACTTTGAGATACTCCAGAAGGACTCGGAGATCTTTTTGTTCTTCTTGATCAAGAGCTGTGGATATAGGCCTGGACAACCAGCTCTAGGTGTCCCTGCTTAAGCAGTTGGTCTGGATGAGATGACCTCTACAAGTCCCTGCCAACTTCAACTATTCTGTGATTCTATGATTCTTCATGGTCCTCAGCAATATTTCCTTCTAGACGGCAAACGGTTTTCTTCTTTACTGATTAGTGATTGATTACTCCCCTTCCATATGAAGAAACAAATGACTACTTTTTTCTTACTAGTGATAGACAGATACTATTATTTCTGGGGTTCCCTTGAAGCAACTGTTGTGGATTGGTTAGCTAATGGCTTTGGTTAATGTTATTAGCACTTCTGACCTTACAAGGTCAATTGTATTCAAAACATGATAAATTTGTTTCTCCCCCTCTGATCTGTAGTAGATACCTGGCCTTAACAAGGATTCAAACATGACTAACAAAATGTTGGTTATCTCTGTTGAAAGACTAGATGCAACCATGAAAAAGTACTCTCCCTTAGTAGAACACATTGCGTGTCTTAAAATGCTGTTACCATGTATAAATTGAAACATCCAATACACACACTTCTAATATGTACTCTAATCCTTAAACTTTATATAGAAGATGTAAAGCTGTTGACATAGCAGGCAGGCTTCACACCTATTTTGCAGTATGCTCTTGCTGTTTTAGCACTCATTTATCCTACTCAAAACACTTAGAATTCACTGTTTTCCATCTCTTATCTATTTTTCTATCCTTAGGAGATGGGAGGTGAAGACAAGTATATTCAAGAGCAAGACCCTTTGCTATACAGGATACTTTAACTCTGTTTAAAAGACACCCAGACCAAAAGGGGAAATACAAATGCAGACACCTGAAACAGCACGGAATTCTTTTTAATTACGATCAGCTGAGGAAGAGGGATGATAGCAATAAAGATGAGAGGCCTTGCAACTGAAGAAAACAAAACATGCGCAAGGAAATGCACTATATCCCCGTATGTTGCTTCATAAATCAAAATCTCCCCTAAATCATTGCCTTAAATCTCAAAATCCACTTCCATGATGCACAGCTGATTGGAGAAGCAAGCAAAACCCAGCCTTCCCACATGGGTAGGCCTCCGGAAAACAGTGTATCACCAATCTCCAATGTAGACCACAATTATGGCAATACCCTTCTCCAGTCTTTCAAAACTCCAAAGATACTTTTAACATTGAGTGTGAAGTCACTTTCGTTTCTCAGATCTACTGCAGCACAGAATTACATATTGTCTTGATGGGGCTTGGGAGGAGGGCTTCAAATATAAGGAAGGTCAGTTTTGAGCACTAGGAGGACTGAACACAGGAGAGACCAGACATGCAAGTGCTTCAGCCTCATCTTCCAAACTTATCTAGAAGTTGTAATTTTGTGTGAAGTACACAGGTTTGTCTCAAAGCAGGTATCTAGACTGTACAATGAATGAAGCAATAGAAACTAGAATTTAATTCATAGGCTGTGTCAGCTGCATAGCAGCAATTAAATCCTGGAAACTCACAATGAGATCCAAATCTTATCTTTAAAAATGCCATGCCGCTTTGAAGACCCCCAGATTTCACAGAAGTGCTTGTAGAACCAAAAGCACTGACTAACCTGCCCAATATAGGCATTAACACAGCAGAAAGTAGCTACACGACCTTGCCATGACTTTATAAAATTTACCACATGGGATGTTTGTTTGGATACAGCACAGATGTTTTTCATGTGTCTTACACTTTTAAGGTTCCAGATATGTCTCATCATTGAAACCCTCTAAGCACAATCCATATTCTACCTTTGGGAAAACAATCCACATTTATTTTCAAAATGATCTTTTGTTTTTTTTCCAAACTTGTCACATTTTTTATTTTGAAGTTTCGCATCATCCTAATATGTAAGAAATCTCAGCACAGAAGAGGTTCATTTCCTGAAATGATCTGAAAATCAGGAGTACAAAAACTGAAAACAAGGACATACAGTTTGGAATTAAACTAATGCAAGTGTTTAAATGACACAATCAAAAAGGCTAAAGTCCAAAATGAGTGACTACCGTCAAAGAAAAGAAAAGAACCAAAAAAACCCAAACAAAACCCACACAATAAGAGATACTATAAATACACTAGGAAAGGGGAAGAAAGTAAAATGCAGAGCTACTATATCAAAGAGAAGGAAAGCAAATAACAAAGAAATCCCAGTATTGAATACTTTCACTGCTTCAATATTTAAAACAAAATTAATTGTGGCTAGATGCTTAATGCTAGTGATTTTAAGAGGAAAAACTGCAAGCAAGATGACAGAAAGCTGAAAGATATTCTGATGACTTAGATATATTTAAGTTCACAGAATCTTGTGAAATTCACTCTAGAGCACTTCAGTGCTCTTTAAGAAGAAACCTCTAATCCATTAGCAACCGTCATTCAGGAAAGGAGAGGACAGAAAAGGGTGAGTATCTTTCTGCAGAAAGAAAAAGGGAAGATGTGGGAACTACCAACCAGCAAGCCTAAATCTGACAGCAGCAAGAATACTTGACAAAATTATTAAATAAACAATTTATGGTTCCGTGAGCGAACGAGCTGCCTGACTGGTTTTAAACCACAATATCAACCTTTAATGGATAAGAAAGGTGATAAGAACCATCTGACAGGAATTTATCATGAAAGAGTCATATCAAATAATAAGACTTACTGCTTTTTCAACAGGGCAACTTGCTTAGTGGATAAGAGGAGGAAGTAGATGTAAAATACTTCAGCTATAGTAAGACTTTGTTTACTGTCCTAGATGATACTCCAGTAAACAAATTAGAGACTAGTCTAGGTGAAATCACTGCAAGCTAGATAACATCTGGTGGGTAAAAAAATGCACTTACTGAGTAGCTTTCAAGGGCTGGCTGTCAGATCTGAAATGGAATCATGAAGAGGTCTGACAATATTTCCGTTAATGATCTGGATGAAGAAATAGAGAGCATATTCATGAAAGTGAACTTAGTATCAGGCTGAAAGTGATTTAAAGCACTCTGGGGGACATGATTAAAATTCTGTATTACGCAGCTAAATCATCAGAAAACATCAAGTACTAACAAGGAATTGTGAAGAATGTTTCATTTCTGAAATAACTCTATGAAAATCTGACTCCAACAAGACTGACCAGGTATATTCACCTCTGGTCCAACGTAGGACCCAGAAGAGCTGCAGTGTTTTGTACTCCAGTTAGAAAGCTCTGTGACAAAGAGAGGTACAGGACGCTGCAAACTATACTTTAGGTATAAAGAAGACAGAGCTCAGAGGAACCTACATAATAATCATGAGGAAGGACAAAGATGTAGGATTGAAGAGTGGATTTAGTTCTCTATTAATGAACTTGCACATGTGATTGGTTTGTATCTCCAGACAGTGAATAAATAACCCTTTCTGAAACTGAAAAAAGTTGTTTCTGTATCTGTGTTAAGCTTGCTAACAAGACTCTAAAGGAGAAAGGCTTGAAAATGACACTTGCACCCATCGCAGTAACACGGTCAGGCAATAGTGGAGAGACCCTAACTGGCAAATCAGAGACCCTAATTGGAGGTGGTTTAGCTTCCTAAGAGCCATAGAACAATTTACTAGAAATACATTTGAAAAGAGTCCTGTAATGTATACTACAATAATTAATAAAAATATGAAAATTGCTCAGAATATAATTGTTGTGATCAATCTAAAACATTTTTGAGAGAGGGAATCTGGACAAACTAGTTGGGTATATCTGACACAATTTGGAAAAATGATGAAACTCAAAATCCTCCACAGAACATTCTTTATTCAGCTCTTTTTCTGACCTCACCATCTGCAATTTCTCCAGTGAATCAAGAAGTGACATGGATAAAATTTAATGAGAGGAGAAAGAAAATATTTCTCTTTCAAGTGTTTCCCACACCACCCGGTTTTCATGCACCATGACAGAGAATACTTTTCATATTTTGATAATTGTTATTAGTTTTTGCTCTCACCAATATACTTCAGAATTCTCTTCTCTCTTCTACAAGACAAAAAAAAAAAAAAAAAAAAAAAAAAAGAAAAGCTATCAAGCTATTCCTCATCATATCCAGTAATTCTCAGGGCTACTCCTTACATTAGTATACTATTTTTAAACACTGCTCATGTTTGACCATGTCCTTTAGAGGATAATACTTGGCTTTTGTTAGGAATTAATTGGCTACTATGTTTTTGAGTATTTATTTGAGATGCTTTAAAATATTTTAATTGCTTTTGAACATTGGAAGAAATTAACTGGGGTCAAGGATACAAAACACCTAAATGTTTTTTAATGACAGGTCTGATCTCTATGAATGAGGTTAAGGTTTCACAAAAGTTAATCCAATCTAACTGCTACCACCCAAGAAGCATGTTCCAGCTTTTTCATTAAGCCAGCCTCTTGTGTTGATCTAATTCATATCACTAAACTAGCAGAAAACTAATGTAACAAGAAAGGATGTGCAGGGGAAGTAGTTTCAGTTAGCAGAAGAATGTAACTAATGATGTCAATGAACTTGGTCTTCATTGAACAAAAGACCAACTTCTTGACACATACTTCCAAATTACAATTCAGGCTGCATGGTTACATTAAGAAACTAAAATCAACTTACTGTGAGACAGATTCTCAAGGGCTTTTCCAAGTTTTTTGCTCTCTTGAAGAATATGATTTAGTTCATCAAAATCATGGCTCTCCGGTTTTGTCCTCCAATCCCATTTAGGATGATCTATTGACCTTGGCACTAAATATACACAGATATATAGATGAAGTTTAGATTTGGTAGTTCAGACTCCTACAGTAGAAAAAAAGCTGCACAACGAGTCTACAAGCTCAAGCACCTTGAGTGATAATCACTTAACTATCCTATTTTAACATCTAGAAATATTTTCCTTGGTCAATGTGAAGTAAAAATGAAAACACCTACAAATAAATGTGTACTTGGGATGATTTTTGTGACTTCATTGGTAAAGAGGAATAATTAATATTAGCAATTAGAATAAAAATAATGCCAGAAAAATATAACACTAGTATTGCATATGAAGGTACTTCATTTACATCAAAATAGAACTGTGTGTCCTAGAGGCCAATAAGGAAAAATGTCAAAATGAAAATAAGCAATTGGTACTTTTGGCTTTGCTAGTCATTTTATTGAAAAAAAAATAAAGCTTTTAAAACAACATTTATACTTTTTTTTTTTTTTAAATCATAAAGCGCAGGTAACATTTCATCAAAACAGTGAAACAAAACATGTCCCCATTGTTCATGCTGTACAGCTCTATTCCAATAATTAAACATATTCAATCTTTGGGAAGCACAATCCTGAGCCTACAGACTTCAATTCATTATCTATTACCAAAACCTTTGATTTAGTTTTAAAATGACAGTTTCTCAACTACTGAGCTTACTTTACTTACAATGGCAGAGAAGAACAGGAGTTTCTGAGACCCACAGTTAACATAGCTGCAATAACCCATGTGAACATTTTGAACAACTTGTAGAAATGAAAACAAAAGTGATGCTGTCTCTGGAACTCATATTTAACAAGTTCTTTTTGCCAGTGTTCTGAACGAAGCGATCCACTGCCTCCACCACCAAATGTGATTAATTGTTCGGCTGTCTCCAAACACAGCATTACCATTCTGAGAATGGTACATTCTAGTGAGAAGATGATGATGCCTAGTCCACATTTCCAACAGAACGGATCAGTTGCATTTATCAATGGTTGCTAACTACTCAAAAATAAGTTCAAAAACAAAGCCTACAGTGTCTAATATGTTCTGGTCAGTTCTGAAATATTTATTTACAATGTTGACAGCTACCAATGAATTTATGCTTACAAAATCCAGTTTCATTAAATGCTAAGAAGGAAATGCCAACTCCTATAGATCATGCAAAAAGAAGTGGTATCTTAGGATCATTTGGAATTTCAGAATGCCTATTTATGATGGTATGCAGAAATTATGCTCAGACTTCTCAAGTTCTGATGGCTATTGTAAAATGGGTTAAAAAACTATCCCTATTGAAACTTGCCTTACTGCTGACTGCCCTCTGCTTGAATATAGAATCTGCTTCACTTTGGATCAACTCCACAGGGAAGGTTGAAGTTAAGTCAACAGCCACCTTTTCCACGTAAAGAAATGGGACAGTGGTATGTTTAAGTTCTTCTGTCACAAAGAATGCAATTCCATCTACTATGGACATTAAACCAAGCCATCTTCAAACCAGACATGTACAGAAAGTTCAACAATTCAGAGTATATTTTGATCTGCAACACCCAGTCAGGAACCTAAGTTAGTATTAGGGAAGTTAATACATTAGACTGTAAGTACAGACATTCTCGAAGACAGAAGACAAAGGAAACATTGAAAACAACCTACAGAGATAAGAGTAGGAAGAGACACAGAAAGCCTCAATAAGGAGAGGGGAAAAGGGGGCCAAGTTGAAGTGTCAGAGGCCGATTCTGCTTTGTGTTCAGAAAAGACAAGTCATGTATTTCTTTCTGAGAACAATGAAAATAAAGAGCTATGGAGGTTCCTAGGGAATAGACACAGGCCTTTAGTGTCTGACTAGCCTCTATTCAGATGGACAGCTTGCAACTTTGGTTGATACTTTTAAATGCCAATAATTTAATTTATAATTCCCTGGTTTAGAAACTACTATGTTCAGTAATAATTATCTAAATTTTGATGTGACCAAAAATTGCCTCAATTCATAGACCCTAGCACAGTTAACTTAATTAGCACTTCAGTTTTTCTCATCCTTTTTCTTATTTAAAGAAAACAAAATGTTCTACCAATTACTTTTTTGTAAACTTTTACTAACTGTAAAAATAAATATTTGGTAAAGTAGAAAAGAAATTCTATAATGAAATATCTCTGGTTTTGATCACCTTTGTTCTATATTGAGATCACATGCGCCTTTACTGCCTGCTTTTCCAGCCACCTCATGTTCTCCCTTGAGTGTACCAACACTGTATATTCTATAGAATCTCTCACTCTAGGCTAGTAGCAGTTCAACAGACTTTTCTTTCCATATTTATATTGAACTCACCACACCACAGAATTCTTACAGTACCAACAAAATACAGGCAGTAATTTAATACAGTAAAGCCATGTAGAAAGATCACAATACCTTAGAGGTTCTGAAACCTTCCAGAAACCTTCCAGTTTCAGAAACTGTCAACAAGCTGGAATCTGATAACATGACAGTTTGAAACAAACCACTTTTTTCAAACTTCCAAAGGACAGAATTTATGAGAAACAATATGATTTTGAACTTTGTCATGGGACAGAAGCTGAACGAAATGAAGTTCTACTCAACAGCTGCAAAGCTTCCAGAGTAAGCAACAGTCAAATATATGAACCAATCTGCAGGAAAATGAAAGTATCAAGACTCTGTCCTTGGAAAGCAAGGAAGTGTGCTCAAGAGACAATGGTCTGATCCTTAGTTTCAGAGAAATGTCACACAAACACAGGAAGCTTGGACTGCATCTCACTAGTAGGATAGATGGAAACCAGTCAAAAACGTGGTGAAAATTTGCTCTGCATGCTGTGTTTCAGCAAACCATTTTGTACTTCAGTGAAAGTATATCGAAACAGATGTGCTGTCATGGAACATTTCTAAGTTTCAATAGGATTCGTCTGAACAATGATTATGGCTTATTCTGTTGAACCAAAATTGAGTGGGAAGTTAAGCAGAATTAGAACTGAAATTTTTATTACTACTAGAGAAGACATAGTTCTTCTTACTTAACTATTTTTCCAACTAATGAATGGATACTAAAACTAAAGTCTACTTCATTACATCAAGTGGCATGTGTCTGTCCTTTCACAGTATAAACTTGTATCTTCCCAACTATAAGATCAACAAGCACTGGTCATTTTCAAGTGCAGGGTTTTGTGTGACACATGCAGAACTAGGTAAAGACTGTATGACCCTTCCTTAAGATATTTTGAAATATGTGATTACCTTCCCTATGTATGAAGTCCAACATATATAATTTCCAATACACCTGTCACTACACATTTAGTAAAATCCTCTCATAATTTTCTGACCTTCCTTTATTATGCTCACTCAACTCCTCAGAATCATCATATCAGTAATTTTAAATCCCTCAATCTGCTTTTTGATTTATAAAACATTTTCTTTTGAAATTATTTTCCTACAATTAGTAAGATTTATTATCTCTACATCATAGCATTTGTATATGAGACTTTCCCATCTCATCTTAGAAGACTGTAAAGACATGCTTTCCAGTATTTCTGATGTCCTGGTGGTGCATCACCCCCCACATGCACATCAGATACATTCACATGTGTTATGACTTCTGCCACAAATCAACAGACCTTTAATTTCTACTGGATGACAGTACAAGATTAGTACTGTTTTCATCTGAAAATACATTTATTTTTAAGATGTTCTGCAGACAGAATCAGAACAGTTGCTCATTAAATCCTACATTTCATTAATATATTTGTATGACCATTTTACGTCTCAAAACCAAAAACAGGTGCATTGTTATTGAGCATAAAATTACTCATGCATTTAAATCCTACAATAACATTAAGATTGGAGTTCTCTGATAACACAGCCAAACTGGTCTACACAGTACCAGGATATTAAAAAGCTAAGAGAACAATGGTCTAAAGTCCTAGACTGACCAAGGACAGTTAGAAATACACAACATTGTAATTGTAAATGAGATATGGTCAGAATGATGAACTGAAGCAGAGTGAAAAAAAGATCTGTGATCTGAGGTGATGAGGAGATAAACTACTTTGCCTAAAAGCTAGCTGGAAAGTAGTAAGTCTCACAAACTATTCACAAAGTTTCGAATTTGTTCTTCTTCAAATACAGAATGTGATCATCTAAATATTTAATTTTTTTATATATATATATATATATATATATATATATATATATACACAAACACACACACACTAGGAGCCCTAGCTTCAAGCCTCTTCTTTGCCATATAACAGCAGCAGCTTCTGTTTAACTTTGTTTTTGCATACACCAAACAAGTGGTCAGATCCCTTGGATACCAGGGTTTCTTGTTTGTGCGTTATTTCAGGTGTGACTGAGATTAGTCTTACCTGCAAACATCAGAGAACATTCTACCTCATCATCCAGGACGTAAGACTTTTAAATGGTACTGGTCTCAGTATCAGTCCCTTAAGCATGCCATCAGCGATAGGCGTTTTTACTGAACTTCGCATTGTCAGTCACAATCCCTTGAATTCAACAGCTGAGTCAACTTTCCACACATCTTGTGTCCACTTACCCAGGCCATACCTTACCAATTGAGTGATAAGAATACTATGAGAGATTCACCAAGGTTTTGCTAAAAGTCAACATATTAAACATCCACTACTCTGATTACAGGACCAATTATTTCATCTAAGGGGGCAATCAGGTTGATCTAATCAAAAGTGTATGCTTTCATAAATCCATGCTTGCTGTTCCCAATCATATTTCTCTCCTTGCTGTAGCTGGGAACACCTTCCAGGAAAATTTGCTCAGTAACCCTCCCAGAAAGTAAGGTTAGGCTGATCAGCCTGTAGTCCCCAAAGACTCCTGATGTTTAGTCATGAGGAACTCCTACAATCATCATGATGTTTTAGTGATAATAGAACGGCCTTACAATGACATTAGTCTCCTCTCTCAGCGTGCTCAGAATAAATCACATATAATGCCATGTATTTATGTATGTCCAATTGCCTTAAGCACACCCTAATTCTATCTTTCCCTGTTGTGGGTAAAGCTGCACTCCTACAAACTCTGCTGCCAGTCTTAGGGACTTGAGTAGCTTAAGAACAAGCCTTAGCAACTGAAAAGCATTATTAAATGTCCTTCAGGCCACAAGGACAGATCCTTGAGTCCGTATTTATACACCGAATATATTCTGGGTGTATAAATTATTTCCTTGCTTGACATGGCAGAGTGCCCAGCCTCCTCTTTGTCCTTCTCTTGAGACAACCTAAAGACCAACAATCAAGATACCTGCAGCAGGCACACAAATGAAGGGAGTGACACGAAGTCACACCACTAAGAGGATAAAGACTGAGAACTTGAGATCTATAGGAGATGGCACGGAAGTTACTTTATGCCTAACACAGAGTTTGAAGTGCAAGCACACTACGGGAGGACAAGAACACAGCATGATGACAGGAACAGCTCACAACACCTTTGGCTACTGTTTCTAACAGTTTATCTCCATAAATTGCTGTTATCCAGCAAAGACTATTAGCTTAAACTCAGATTATGAGTGACTATGACCACTTCTCAAAATCTACATGCTTCTTTTGGACCAGTATAAAAATTAATGTGCCCATAGAAAGATACAGAAACATAGAATGGTTAGGGTTGGAAGGGAACTTAAAAGATTATCTAGTTCCAAAGTTCCTGCCATGGCCAGGGACCCCTCCCACTAGACTACGTTGCCAAAGGCCCTGTCTAGCTTGGCCTTGAACACTGCCAGGGATTTGAGTGCTTCTGAAGCAGGGAATGTGCTTCATGAAGAAGAAACAGAGACACATGCTCCATTTTCAGAATAAATAATCGATAAATTTGTGCAATTGGACACATCTACTTGTACAGCTATTTTTTACTTGTTACAGTTACTTATTCTACCAAAAATGTATCATACAAGACTGTCAATAACCCAAAAGCACAGCATCTCTATTGCATAGATCTATCATGATTTACTTTAACCATTGCTGAGCTATATTTTGACCTACTGAGGCCACTGGGAGATTTTTCTTTGACTCCACTGAAGTCTAGTTTTCCCCATCTTGCTTTCAGAGGAAAAACGGCAAGCCTTCTATTGCAGCATACTATAAATCTCTGATCTCATCTGATTAACCTAATCACACTCTGAGTTATTAAAAAGATTCAGCTATTCTGAAAATTTCAAAAAGCTACAATAGCCGACTGAAGAAAATACAATTTTGCAGTTTATTTTGGAGAAGATACCTTGTATACACACTTGGGTGTGTACCTATACATGTATAAGTATATAGATTGGAGAAATATTTATCTGGGTAAAAATTCCATTAAAAATCGAGCTTAAAAATTAAATTTCTTCTACAGCCAGTACACAGGAAGCACTGTATTTCATTAAGGCTTGCTGCCTCTATTTTTATTACTTTTATTTTACAGGTCATTGACAACATTCTCTTCAGTCACCCTATTTCTATTCTGCCTTTTCTTTCAGTGTACATTTAAATTCCTTCAGCAACCCTTGGAGCTGCACACCTGTTCTGCTGACTCTGCCCCATATCTTGAACAGTATCTGTTCATAATTCATAGTTTTGCATTGCCTGACCTGCTGAAAAAACTTGTCTTTTAGGACCAATATCAACAGAACAGATTTTACATATGCAAAATGGCAATAAACATAGAACATCAAATCATAATTGGTATCTGAATATAAAACTGTGCATGACATCCAGATAGGCTTCTGGTTTTTATCTGTCTAAAATTCTATTTTATCTATAGATGACAACATAGGGTATTAAATACTCAAAATTGAAGTGAAAGTAAAGTAAGAATCAAACTCTTCTAACATATATATCTAGCCATTTCAACCGCTCATACTTTGTTTTCCATTTTAATCCTAATTCATCAGAAAAACATACTATGGGTTTGGAAATATGCAGGAATTAATTATGTACTGAAGCTTTCTTACATGACTTGGACTCCGGTGATGGTGGAGAAATGTTGGACACGGCAAGGTCACTCTTTGACTTTTTAGGTTTTTTTGCATTTACCTGCCAAGGTTTATCATAGCTTCTAAAATCTCTCCTTGCTCCTTTATTTTCTGCCAAAAGAATCAAATCAGGCAATTATAACATTTGTAGGGTCATTTTTCAAAGACTTGATAAACAATCCAGAAAAAAAAAAACTAACAGTCCAAACTAAAGTCTGCTCTTCTTTTTCTCTCCTATTTCCAATTTATATGAAATTTCATATATTTCTTAAATTTCCTAAGTATCAAAATTTAGAAATTCATTAACATGTTTTTCATTAAACATAACATGTTATTTTTTGTTATGAAAATGTCCTTAAACTCCATTCATTCTCTTACATGTTTTATTTCCAGTGCTTAAAACTTTACATTTTAAGTAAAAAGTAAATTTGCAGGTAACTAACATTTTGACTATCAGCAAATATTTGAGATCTGTAAGTCACTTTTTAAATAAACCAAATTCTAAGAGTAGCTTGACATAGAATATCAAAGCTAAAATTTCTACTTTAGAATCAGAGCAGATATTATTTCAGAAATGTTTTTAATGATTCTGAAGATCTACAATCATAAATTATTCACACTAGAGTTCATAAAGTAGTAATAGCATCTCTCATTAAGTGTTGGAAAGATGGGTTGTTAAAAATGTGTATTAAGGAAAATACCTCAATAGAGGCTAATCTCAAGCAAAAGTACACCACGGGAGAGTAAAGGAAAACAAAGCAAAGAGAAGGGAAAGCAAAGAGGACAGCAGGGAAATCAAGGGACCTTTATATGTACCTTCCTTTTTATTGAGACTGTGATTGTTTCCACTCTGTAACTCCAACTCATGCTCACATGTACATAGGCTAAGCTTAGAGGCAACAATATATATCCAATTCAGTATCATCTACTGGGCAGACAGGATTTACTGTGCATGCTCAAAACTACAGAGTAATACCCATTCAGTAGGTAAACATGTATCCAGGAAATCATGGACAAAAGTGTGGGAAGATTATACTGGAGATGAGCCCTTTCCAGCATACAGAACATACCTGATGTTTCACTCTCTGCCCAAAGTGCAGCAGAGCCAGACAAGGTCCTCTGAAGCGGATTGCGGTTCCCCTGTTTCGACTGAAGATGATCAATTAGAAATGGGATTGGCTGGTCAGGTGTTTCTGTTATCAGTTTGGTCATCAATTCCTTTAGAAAATGAAAACAATACAAAAAATTAGTGGGATATTGCACCCAAACTAATCTAGTATTTACCAAAAGTAAAGGAGCATTTATAAAGGAAAAGCCTGTTTTCAACTTTGAAGAAAACAGCCGGAAACATCTATCTCCTCAAACTACTACTAGCTTTGCCCTATGAAATGTTCATGTACGAAATGCTCTTAACCCACAGAGTCACATTATCCACTGGAATTTACTTTAAACAACCCAATTTCAATTACCTGTTCAAATTTACCCCAAATTATTTGAATACTTAAGAGCCAGTATACTCACTAACAGTAAATGTGAGTAACTGCATGTAGGATTATTACCATAACAAGACAAGTTATCTTTGTCCACTCCAAGCCTTTCCATTCTTTTTATTCAAGTAGTAGTATAAACAATTAGGTATAAGTGAAAATGAGACAGAAACAAGCTTTCCATTTCAGAAAGAGAAATGTAACTTCTGAGAATAAAAAGGAGAAGACATGCCCAATCTCATGTCTTGTGAAGCCATTATCATCCCTAGTGTGATTTGTGATCACTATCTACAGGGAACCAAAAAAAAAAAAAAAAGTCTTTGCTTTGGAAATGGAACTCCACAGGAAGAAATTAATCTAGTTACTAATCTTAGAAACAGCAAAGCTATGGAGTCTAACTTCATTGAGACTGTCTCTCACCAAGGTAGGAGAAACCCTCTGATACAGATCACACAAAAAAAATCCAGATATTGGAGAAGCTCATATTTTAGTTGCTTGGCAACACTCTAACAGCAAACCTTTCTTTTTTCCTCTGCCAAAATGCAGAATTAGTGACAAGTGGAAAGATGTAATCTTGTGCTTCTGATAGACTAGAACAGCTGCAGGAATTCCACTGCAGAGAATTCTCTTACCAAAGGAAAAGTGTCAATCTGTAATAGCTGACTTGTAATTGAAATAATTTCTCTGAATCGTGGTTTGAAAATCATTTTTCTCTCTTAGATTAAAAAATTAATAGCATCAATGCATGTATCTCAGTTCTCATCATCTTGTTTTTTATTAAAGACATGCACAGGTGACAATCTATTAATAATACATTACAAAATTAATGCAGAAATAAAAAAGGCAGTACAGGGATGAAAAATTTCAGAATGCTTGTATCAATGTAAGAAAAATGATACTTGACTGTTGCCATCACTGATTTGCTTGTCACAAGAAAAAAAGGTCTTTAATTAACAGAAACAGACCTAATAAAATAAAACTGATTACATGATTTGTTACTTTATCCTGAGACATAGCAATAAAACTAAAGAACATAACTGCACAAACTACAAAAAGAAAAAAAAGTGCTATTTCAAGGTGACGTGAAATTAGTTCCTATTCAAAAGGACCACTTTTTATCTACTGTTAATATATTGACAATAAGGCCTGAGTGATCTGTGCTGTCTCAGAGTAAAATCACTTCTATTCTGTGACAGCAATTAGAAAAGATGACAGAACTATAGATACAGGCTACTTTTATCTCTCTGGAGTAACAAATCAGTTGTACTGATCCTCTGCACCTAAACCAAAAAAAGAAATAACATTCTTCAAATCATCATGAACTGAAAAGAGTATGCAGTTAAAAAAATAAAAATACTACTTATTTGTTTAATAAGCCTCAAACTGACTTGCCTCAAGCACTTTCAGAGATGGCATTAAAAGTAAATACAGCTTTAAGTCGACACGAAGATGACACAGATTGCAAAGCCTGCCACTTAAGAAAGACTCTTTCCTACAAGTATTCCTACTCTTTCCTACGAGTATTCTGTTGCAAAAGGGGAGTGAAGAAGCTTCTATGTATTTGCTTCTCACGCCATTCCAAGCAAGGTGTGAAAGTGGTCTCCAACTTACCCCTCTGCAGGATGTGCAAAGAACACCTCCACCCCAAGCAGCAGTAACAACAGCAGTGATAACAATTTCAGATGTACACTCTGTAAATCCACACTCACACGCAGGAGGTGTTACCTACTTCCACATCCTTCTGCTACACACACAGTCAGAAGTAGGATCACAACTCCACAATTCTCACTGCCTTTGCCCTCCTACCAAATTCTGCCACCCAAAGGACCTAACTCCATCTGCTCAGCCCTTAATGCATGCTCTTCAAGCTCATGCTTCCTTTGAGACTCTTGCCATCCCAGCAAATTGGCAACTACAAGGAAATAGGTTTTCTGCCTGCCATGGGGTGGAGGGGTGGGAGAGGCAACAGAAGCAAAAAAAAAACCCAACAAACTATAAAACAAAAAAGGCAAAAAAACTTCACATAGGTAGTAACTGTACTTAGCGAGCTCTCAGCTCATCTTTTTAGGTACAAACAGAAACTTCAATGAACAGATATTGCAGATTAGGAATGCCTGTTAGGCAGGTTCTCTCCTCATTAGGAAAATCCGTTGGGCTATTCTTATCGTAGGACCTAGTAAAACGATCGTAAACTTCTGATGAAATTACCCAAAGTTTATTTAATGCTCTCATCTGTTACTCAGATGACATCTTAAGAGACAACAGGAATAACATACTACATGGTACTCTAAATACACTTTCACAACTTTGAAATGTTTAAAAAAGAATTACAAAAGTGAAGGTATTAAATAAGAAAAACTTAAATATACAACAACTTACAAAAATAAAATTCCCTTTTGGTTAGCAACAGCCTGATCTGACTCACAATGTGCTAAGTAGGCAAGGTTTCACAAGAAAAAGAAAAGACCAACTAGTCTCAATGAAGCCGCCTCTGCATTAACAGCAGAATAAAAATGGCACAAGATCATTGAAAATGAGATTCGTTTCTTGATGAAAAATTCAACAGATAAGTTTCAACTATGCATGAAAACAGAAATGCAAGACACTTACATGTCTCAAAAATATCAATTATACTTTTTGCTTTTCCAGGTCAAGTTTCTAAGTTTCCTACTTGTTCACAATTTCACCTAATTCAAATAAAAAAAATTAAAGTTTTGTCTACCTTTTTAAGATGTTCTGCACAGTATGCATTATAAGAACAAATAAAAAATCATAGCAGACTGAGTCTCCATGCTGCCAGATGACTTGTTTACTATCCATAATCTCTCTACTCCTTTCTTCTTTCCACTGCTGTGTATGAATTCCTTTTACTCTATGTCCTTTTTTCTTTTCTATCAGTGGAAACTGCCCTGCTTTGCATCTGTGCAAGAAGTGAAGAAGCCTGTTCAGATGTCAGTACCTATTAATTCCCTTTGCACACATGAGATGCACTGCTGCACCGAAAAGGGGTGAAACAGAACTTCCATGATTACTATAGACCGGAGCACTAGTGTGAAATACATTCATTTCAGCTGTTTCCCCCACTGTATTGCCCCAAATTAGGTTCTGCCCTGAGAAAGAACAGGCAGAAAGGTGATATAAGCTCCAGAAACACTGGCAATTATCTCCTCGAAGGATTTTACCTTGCAATGTGCAAACCAAAAATGAAAACAGTTATTTCTACTTTCTTCTGTAATGGTATCTTCATATGCTTTAACATTCACTGTTTTATTAAACTATGCAAGACAGACTAGTACAAGAAAATGTGAAAGGGTGATCTGTGAATGTTTCCAGGAGAGAGATTAACGTACATATTAACAAAGCTCTTGCAAATAGCTCTTGCAAAAGATCTTGGGGGAGAAAAAAAACAAACAAACAAACCCACAAAAAAACCAAACACTAAACACCCTCCCAACAAAACTCAAAACAAAAACCAAAACAGGTCTAGTGACTTAATATATTAATTCTTTATGAAGATAATAATCTTTCACTATTGTGCTGTCCTGAGGTCCTCTATTAGTTATTCAATGCAGGCTCAAATTTCAATCTCCTTGTGACTGTCCATGCATTTAATACAAATGAAACAGTCTTCACAGTCTATTAATCCTAGGCCCAATTACAAGAAAGCTCTAATTAGCTATGTCTAAACGTACCTACCAGGTTATTAAGTTAATTAAGAGACATTCTATCTTGCCCTGTAATTGATAACAGTAACTACACAACAATTACAGGTTTTGTTTTCAACTATACAGACTTCTACAGACAATGGCGGAGCACGCATAGATTTTGGCAGTATTATGCTCCGATTTCATGGTTTAAATTAGATGTTTAAAGCAGGCAGAATGAATGGCACTGACAAGATAGCCGTCTCTTACACCTGACCAAACAAAGAGACTAGGTGGCTTAGCTTAAACTACATTTTGATGGGATACAGCTCCAAATTAAGAAAATTAAATGCAGCAGTCTTCATACCAATGTCAATGGCACTCTCATCAATGAAGAAGTAAAGGAAGCCTAGAGAGCTCCCAGTTGACTAGCCAGTGTATGTCCACTTGAGGTATCTAAGGATATCCACTTTTAGGTCACTGACTGTATTGGGTATATATCCACTGACTGCAGTGGAGTTTGGACACTTAGAAAACAGGAAGACATCTACATTTACTTTTGCTAATCACTTCATACAGGCCGCATGTTAGCAAAGAAGATACAAAGTCAAGTGAAAACCTGTGGAAGGAAAAAGTAAGTTTCATAAACTTTTGATTCTGATTTACACTTTTTTCTTTAGAATGCCTTCCTGATTTTTGCAGTTATAAAGTAATGAAATAAAAAAAAAATAAAAATCTTACTGGCTAAAATAAAAGCCTGCAATTCTTAGAATCATAGAATCATAGAATAGTTAGGGTTGGAAAGGACCTTAAGATCACCAAGTTCCAAACCCCCTGCCATTGGCTGGGACACCTCACACTAAACCCTCACCCAAGTCTCTGTCCAGCCTGGCCTTGAACACCACCAAGGATGAAGCATTCACAACTTCCCTGGGCAACCTATTCCAGTGCCTCACCACCCTTACAGGAAAGAACTTCTTTCTTATATCCAGTCTAAACTTCCCCTGTTTTAAGTTTGAACCCATTACCCCCTGTCCTGTCACTACAGTCCCTAATGAAAAGCTCATCCCCAGCATCCTTATAGGCC